AAAAAAAAAACTATTCTTATATTTATGGATAAGAATATTACCATATAGCGCTAACTTCTAAGTGTTTTGCAATTTCTAAAATGATAAGCTTCCTAATTTTTTTCGATTATTCGCCAGTGATGATGCTTTGTTTCTGTATTTAACTTGAAATCTTCGTAATGATATAGTATTTAAATTAGTTACCTGATCTTAAATTATGAAACTTAACTGAATCGTTCCAAAAATAATTCAGCTAATTTTTATCAGATGTCTCAGAAATTATGATAATAGCTGTAATCAGGTATATCTGTTTACAGTTGTTCTCATAAATCTTGAAAAATTTTGTAAAAAATTGACTGAATGATTATTTGGCCAATTCGATAAGTGTAATATTTATTATTTATGTAGATAGTCTAACAGCTAAAGCCAGTTACGTATGTATGTATTTATGTATATACATTTTAAATTGATTATTAATCAATTTGCAAATTAAAACTCACATGAAATATATTATTTAAGGTGCAGCAATGACAATTTTAATTGATAATAACCAGATAACCAATATCAATATAACACGTTAAATATATTTTTTTTTCGAAGCATATTCGCTAGAAATAGTCAAAAAAAAATTTAAAAGAGTTATTAGTTCAGACAATTGCTAAATACTTAGATGTTAACAGAGATCTTTAATTTCAAAGATATGGATATGTTGAAAAATTTTTGTCACTCATAAGAAAACCACATCTACTAAACTTGAATGATATAAAATATCTTAAGGCTTTAATGGAAGGAAGAAAGCCTGACTGGTATTTTTATGAATTACAATCAGAGATAGAACTTTGGTTAGGATATAAAAATAGAAGTCGCTTAAAGCCTTGTTTTATTTTCAAATCGATTAGCATTAGTAATCAATTTAAAATGTACATACTATCTATATAAATAATAAATGTTATGCCAAAGTTAATAATTTATCAAATTGGCCAAATAATCATTCGGTCAAATTTTTACTAGATGTTCCAAAATTTATGAGAACAGCTATAATTTTAGGTATCCGATTGATAATTAACCTGACAGGTTATAGATAATATTTACAAGTATCTTAAGAATTATGATAATAATTGTAACCCAAAAGTGACCTGCGGGGTGACCTATCGAGTGACCTACCCATTTCTACCCAGGTTGTCACAATACCATCTGGGTCATCCACAGATGAACGGGTAACCCGAGTGATCACCTATCTGGGTCCAATCACTACAGGTACCCCTGAAGGGTGGCTAGTAGATCTTTCACCATCACTACAACTTTCCTGCAATTGTAGGAGCTTTCTAGCTAGATTCCCGGTCTTCTTTCCTATTTGTAGTGGTCTGGTTGGTATAGGCGTATCTTTAACACCCCATATTTCATCCATTCAGTTCACATAGGTTCCGTTTCTTGGGCTAACCTTTATAGTAGCTTTGTCAAAGATTGGTGCTACTTTTCTACTCAGAACTTGCCAAGTGGGCTTCCGTATTTGCAGTTCTCTGAATTTACACAGTTTGAGAGCTTATTTTGTATTTGCACTACCTTATTATTGGTTTGTATTTCTTCGTATAATATTATATCATACAAATGCTTCAGACCTCCCAGTCTTGCTAGTGCGACCATAGTTACAGATATCCTATTCCAACTGATCATCAAATATAGTTAGCTGTAACACAAGCAGAATTTTTGAATTTTCATTACTGATGAGATTCAAACTCTTGATCTGCCACTTGGGGTAACAACTTGACCACTTCGCTATATTACCATATCCCAAATAAATAATAATTAAAAATAAATGATAGTTAAAAATAAATAGAAAATCTACTTGTTCGAATTTTATTTGATAATAGAGATCTGTTTGTTTTTTTGTCTAGGTCAAGTATTCTTCTACTGATAGATTAGGATAACATTTGACATATGGCCATATCAGCTCTATAGCTATAAATTAGTAATAAATATTGCAGATTAAATCTCAAGACTTATAGTGATCGTGATATTTCTTAAAATATGCAAGCTGATTTTTAGTTTTATATCTCTAGCATATTGCAAATTACTTAAAATTGATATCTCTATTAAATAATTAAAGAATTTAACTAATTATAACTGTGGTAATCATCACTTGTTATACAGAGCAGATATAAAAAGATAAGTTATTCGAATTTTTTTTTTACTTTTATTTTTTATTTATTAGTACTAACACTTAATATTTGTTTTTTTTTATATAGTAGGTTTATGTTTCTTTCGCCAGTTAGTAAATGCTTCTTTCGTCGATTGTGCTTTGTGTCATTAGTGTCATCCTGTTTGGTGCTTTATCTCAGTTGGTGCCTTTTCGTGCGTCATTGGCATCATCTATTTGGTGCTTTTTTTGCTGGTTGGTTCTTGCTTCATTGGTGTCATCCTATTCGGTGCTTTTTTTTGCCGGTTGGTGTTTTGCATCACCCAGTTCAGTGCTTTTCGCTGGTTGGTGCTAGTAGTTGGTATTTTTTCTTACGTCGTTGGTATCATCCTGTTTGGTGCTTTATTTTGGTTGGTGCTTTTTCGTGCGTCATTGGCATTATTTATTTAATACTTTTTTTGCTAATTGGTCTTTGCTTTGTTGGTGTCATCCTATTCGGTGCTTTTTTTGCCAGTTGGTGTTTTGCATCTTCCAGTTTGGTGCTTTTCGCTGGTTGGTGTTAGTAGTTGGTGTTTTTTCTTGCGTGTTGATGTCGTTCTGTTTGGTGCTTTCTCTTTTGTCGCTGTCATTCAGGTTGGTACTTTTTTCGTAGTACGTTATCTTAGTATTGAGTTTCTCAACTATACAGCTAAATATCAATTTTTTTTTGCTTTTAATGTTGTTTGTATTCGTGCAATACTAATTCAAGTTCAGAACAGGTGGCATTACATCTTGCTCTTTTTGTGTATTATGGGATACTTTGTTGATGGTATCAAGTTTGTATCACATTGTGTTTGGCGCTTTGCTTGTCATTCTATTCTTTATGCTATGTGTGATGTTTTTGATTTTCAGGATTTAGTGGTTAGGTAAATTGATTTGATATTAGGGTTAGGATTAAAATTAAGATTGAATTAGATTACATTGAGTGTTTAGCAAAAAGAAGTGACAGCTATAGTAAAGTGACTAAAGGATGAGTAAAGCGAGTCCTGTAGATGTTGTTGAATACAACACAAGCTGTGTGAGTATGCGCATAGCTAATAAAATGATTAAAGCTGCAGTATCTAAAATATAAAAAAATAAATATGTTAGTGTATCGAATTGATCAATTTGTTCTAGTAATTTTGTGTTACATAATAATCTTGTATCATGTGATTGCGATGATGATCACTGCGATTATGGTTAGTAAAATTTATAATTAAAATATTAAAATAAAAAATAATTAAGATATTAAAATAGAAAATAAAATCTTTTAATGTAATATAGATTTACTAATTTAATTTCACAAAAGCTTGAAGCATGTTCATTTCTTCATACAATTGTCCAGGGATGAGAATTAGTGACAGATATTTTTCTCTAATTTTTGCTACCTAATAATATAGAATACCATCATATATAACAACTACCTATTTATGTATTTTATCTTTAATTGCTAAAATTTTTTTAATTTTATTAAAAATTTTTCAATATTTTCAGTTGTATTAGAATTAAGATCAAGAGAGTTGGATATAAAAATATTAACTTCTTTATTAGCATATATTTTTTGAGTTATACTAATTCTTGATATGCTAGATAGATGAGTTTTTCTTTTGGTATTATATAATCTGAAGATTAATAACTATTCGAAAATATACTCCTCAATTTCTGCTTTTGAATTCATATATTGCTTTGAAATTCTGATAATATAGGCAAATAAAACTTGCATGCCAGACAAACTTGTTTTTTATTTTTCTTTTTACAGTTAGAGCATTGTTTGCTACAATGAATATTTAGACCTATATTAGATACGAGAGAATTAATCTTATTAGTTGTGATTAATTTTCTTCACACAATAAATCTAGAATTTCAGAAAGATAAATATTCAATTCTTTATTTTTAACTTCTTGCATTTCAAATGAAGTATCAAAGAAACTTTTATATTGTAACCTATTAAGAGAATTAAATGCTTAAGATAAATTATTAATATATTGAATATGATTTTACAAATTTATATTAAAGATAATAAAACTAGTAATAGTGTGAAATATTACTATATTGAGCCCTTGATTAAGGTAATTTCTTTGTTCTTTTTGTTTATTGTCAAATACAAAAAATAGAAGACCTTCTGGTAGTGCTTTTTTTTTATTAGATAAATCATCTAACCAAGCTTAAAAATAGAAATAACTCTCTAAACTTGTAATGTGATTATCAATATTAACTATAGTTTTTGATCTTGCAATAGAATATTTAATAGTTGATATTACAAGATTTATTTCTGATATATATTTTCTATATCTGGACCTATATATCAAATCAATAGCTATAGCCCTTTTATAAATCTTTTTAGCACTTTCAGAATCTGTATTAAAATTATTTTGTGTTAATATTTCAATAAATTTTACAAGAACTTGATTGCGTCTACTTAACCATATATAAAGGATATAGTTTAATAGATTTTTCAAAGAAAATCTATTGTTATTTTTAATTAAAGCTTTGATATCCTTATATAAAAAATTTTGTTCAATTAGCACAATATCGATAATTGCTTGTATGCACTTATCTTAATTAGAGTACCAAGAATCCTATTGCTTTACTAGTTCTTTATTTCTATCAGCTTTATTATTTAACAAACTTTTTGGTACTCTTCTAACTACTTTCTTAATTCTAAAATTACTTGCTCTTGGTTTTTGAAGTTTTGTTAAAATTCTGTGATTATAATAAGCTTTCTATTTTCTTGTTCTTGCAATTGTTGCTGCAATACTATAATCGTATGCATATAGTTTTTTATATGACTAGTTTCTAGATACAATTCATCAATTTCTTTACAAATATTAGAATCATAAGTAGGAGTGGGACTATCAGAGCTAGCATTAAATCAAAGTCTCTTATTTTTAAAAGAAGAATTATCTAAAAGGTGGTGATGAAAATAATT